AGTGTTAGTGTTAGTGTGAGTGTGAGTGTTAGTGTTAGTGTTAGTGTTAGTGTTAGTGTTAGTGTGAGTGTGTGTGTGTTAGTGTGTGTGTGTTAGTTAGTGTGTGTGTTAGTTAGTGTGTGTTAGTGTGAGTGTGTGTGTTAGTGTTAGTGTGAGTGTGTGTGTTAGTGTTAGTGTTAGTGTGTGTGTTAGTGTTAGTGTTAGTGTGTGTGTGAGTGTGTGTGTTTGTTTGTGTGAGTGTTAGTGTGTGTGTTAGTGTGTGTGTGTGTGTTAGTGTGTGTGTTAGTGTGAGTGTGTGTGTTAGTGTGAGTGTGTGTGTTAGTGTTAGTGTTAGTGTGTGTGTTAGTGTGTGTGTTAGTGTGTGTGTTAGTGTGTGTGTGAGTGTGTGTGTTTGTTTGTGTGAGTGTTAGTGTGAGTGTTAGTGTTAGTGTGAGTGTTAGTGTTAGTGTGTGTGTTAGTGTGTGTGTGAGTGTGTGTGTGTGAGTGTGAGTGTGTGTGTGTGTGTGTGTGAGTGTGTGTGTGAGTGTGTGTGTGTGAGTGTGAGTGTGTGTGTGTGTGTGTGTGAGTGTGTGTGTGAGTGTGTGTGTGTGAGTGTGAGTGTGTGTGTGTGTGTGTGTGAGTGTGTGTGTGAGTGTGTGTGTGTGAGTGTGAGTGTGTGTGTGTGTGTGTGTGAGTGTGTGTGTGAGTGTGTGTGTGTGAGTGTGAGTGTGTGTGTGTGTGTGTGTGAGTGTGTGTGTGAGTGTGTGTGTGTGAGTGTGAGTGTGTGTGTTTGTTTGTGTGAGTGTTAGTGTGTGTGTTAGTGTGAGTGTTAGTGTGAGTGTGTGTGTGTGTGTGAGTGTGTGTGTGTTAGTGTTACTGACGCATTAGATCAGAACGGCGATTAACTTACCTGTGCAATAAGCTGTTTAAAACGTGCATTCTCTCGTTCAATTTCGAGCATCCAGTAATATAATCACATGTCTTGTGGAGCGCTTTCAGAGTATGCATTTATTTGTCATTTGAACTGTTTGGAAACGGAGCGTAAATGTGGAAGTCCTCCAAAGATTTCTTATCCTGTTGCGCCCTCTATAGGACCAGCGACTAGTCGACGTCAAGCTTAAAGCGTCATGGCAGAGCATTGAAGTCGACTAGTCGGTGCAACCCGTAGTGTGAGAGGCACTGTCATCAGCTCAGTGTGAACACAGCAGCAGTCACTGAAGAGTTCAGCCGTGTCTCTGATTCACAGACGGATGAGGAGAAGCAGCAGGGTCTGCCGGTGGTGATGCCCGTGTTTGATCGCAACACCTGCAGCATTCCCAAATCCCAGATCTCCTTCATCGACTACTTCATCACCGACATGTTTGACGCCTGGGACGGTAAGAAACAGGATCATTAGATTGGCTTGAGGCAACTTACTGATCTACTATTTAAACGTAATATTATTATTCTTCTGAGCCCAAATTTAAACACTATCTCCTCCAAGAGCTTTCAAGCTACAACCACCAAACTCAGACTGGTCTGACTCGGGTTGCTATATCTTTTCTAACTGATCCGACTTCTGGTTTTTCGTAAACCAGACTTCCAAAACCACCTAAAATCTCATAGACTTTCATTGAGGGTGTGAAAACTTTTATACAATGAGACTTATGGTGTATTTAAGCTGTCTACTGCCATAGCAAAGCTTAACAACTCCCTGCTGAAAATACAGCTAAAACCAGCCTAAGCTGACTGGCTGCTTTGCCTGGTCTCCCAGGCTGGTTTTAAAGTGGTTTTGGCAACTTTTTAGCTGGCCAGGCTGGTCTTCGCTGGTCAAGCTGTGAGACCTGCTAAAAGACCAACCAAGCTTAAACCAGATAAAAACAATTCTGTTTTTTCAGAAATAAAACCAGCTTAGGCTAGTCGTAGCTGGTTTAAGCTGTTTTTTTTCGGAATCAACTGGTTTTAGCAGGTTTTAACTGTATTAGCATAGAAACATGCAAACAACGTGCTAGTAACTTGCTAATCATGCTAACATGTTAGTAACATGCTAATCATGTTAGAAACAAGCTAGCAAACATGCTAGTAACATGTTAATCATGCTAGAAAAATGCTAGCAACATGCTAGTAACTTGCTAATGATGCTAACAACATGCTAGTAACATGTTAATCATGTTAGAAACAAGTTAACAAACATGCTAGTAACTTGTTAATTATGCTAGAAACAAGCTAGCAACATGCTAATCAGGCTAACAACATGTTAACCATGTTAGAAACATGCTAGTAACATGCTAATCGTGCTAGCAACATGTTAGTAACATGCTAATCGTGCTAGCAACATGTTAGTAACATGCTAATCGTGCTAGCAACATGTTAGTAACATGCTAATCGTGCTAGCAACATGCTAGTAACATGTTAATCGTGCTAGCAACATGTTAGTAACATGCTAATCGTGCTAGTAACATGCTAATCGTGCTAGCAACATGTTAGTAACATGTTAATCGTGCTAGCAACATGCTAGTAACATGCTAATCGTGCTAGCAAAATGCTAGTAACATGCTAATCGTGCTAGCAACATGTTAGTAACATGCTAATCGTGCTAGCAACATGCTAGTAACATGCTAATCGAGCTAGCAACACATGCTAATCGTGCTAGCAACATGTTAGCAACATGCCAGTCATGCAAGAAACAGCCTAGCAACTCCCACAGGTACCCTACCAATATGTTTTATCTGTTTTTCTGATAGACTGTATTGCCTTGAAAACATTCAAACTTTAATCTGTAAAACTATTTTAACTTTCGAACTACTTCAAACTGAAAACTTTCAGACTGCAATCTTTTAAAACGACTTCAAACTTTCTGGCTAGGCTTTTTCGAGCCAACTTAAAGTTTGTCTACAAACTTTACTCATCTAGTTTAATCTAGATTTATACTGTTTTACTGTCAGATTTGTTTTGAGCTGAAGTGATGCTCCTCTGATTTAACAAACCCTCCTATCTAAATCATTTCAGATCAAATACATGAACACCGAGATGTACTGACGGACATGTTGACAGTAATAATAATAATAATTATTTCTAAAGTGCCTTCTCTGTGTTTCTAGCGTTTGCTGATCTGCCCAATCTAATGCAGCATCTGGACAACAACTTCAAATACTGGAAGAGTTTAGATGAGAAGAAGCTGCGGAGCCTGCGGCCGCCACTGGAGTGACACACACACACACTCTCACACTCTCACACACTCACACACACACACACACACACACACACTCTCACACTCACACACACTCACACAC